GGTTTGTAGCATGTTCCACTGCTGCTGTGAACCGATGGATACGCTTGGCATCTTGTTCTTTTGGTTCTTTGATTTCTTGATTTATGTGTGCCAATGTGCCATCATTGTTGAAAACAGGGGCCATGCTAATCTTCTCTGTATTGTTTGTATTTTAACGGATGTCTCGAAGAGTCAATGGGCAACATGGTCTCGACTTATGGGGGTGACTAAATCAAGAATGAGGCTGCGTCAAAGGTGTGGCTTTGGGATAGTACTTGAGGGGGTTAGGGTGTCTGGTTTTGAGTATGATGCTCTCGGGGATATGCTTGGACCTTTGTGGTTCCACCCTAAACCCCCCAAGTATCCCGAAGTTAAACCCCCCGAGCATCCCAAAGCCACACCTTTGATGGGGGCTCATTGTTGATTTAGTCCCCACAGGGATGGGTTAGCAGCAAGCTGTGGTTGATGGATGTTTGGACTCGTGCTTTCGGACCGCAGCTGGGATCCCAGCTGGGATTGCAGCTGCCCCACAGATCTCATCACCACAGACTTTGGGATCTCAGAGCAGGGTTGGGATCACAGGTTTGAGATCCCAGCTGGGATCACAACTGCACGCGTACGGATTTGGTGACAGGTTTGGGATCCCAGCACGGGCTCGGGATCATAGGGCTGGGATCCCTCGCTAGGATCACAGCTGCACCAAGGATTCAATCACTGGTCTGAGATCCCAACTGGGATCACAGCTGCGCACATACACAGGTTCAATCACAGGTTTGTGATCACAGCCCAGGCTTGGTATCATAGAGTTGGGATCGCGTCTGGGTTCACAGCTGCGTCGGAGATTTGAATCGCAGGCTTGAGATCCCACAGCTGCACACATACAGATTCGATCACAGGTTTAGGATCCCAGCAGAGGCTTGGGCTCATAGTTCTGGGATCCTGGCTGGGATTGCAGCTGCACCACAGATTCAATTTCAGGTGTGGGATTCCAGCATAGGCAATTCAGACTCAGATTGCAGATGGTCGATGACCAGCACAGAAAACAATTATCGATGCGATAATTCAATAATAATATTAATATTCAATATTGTGATTTGATCATTGATGATTTAAATGATTCATTTGAATCATTTCAACAATTTACAAGTTTCTAATACTCTATATATAATTTATTGAAATTGTGAATAACTTATCTGATCTGGTCTGAATACGTGAGGAACGGTTGAATTTGAAAATGAACCTGGGTAATGCCCGACAATTTTTTTTTCACTTTTTCCTTAGTGTAATGACCCGTCATAACACAGACTGAGAACACTGCTGATTTCTGAAGTTCTGCCGATGGAATGGATGCCTTGCTGAGATTCCCGCATTCTGCTGAGTTTTCTGAGTCTGTATGTGTGTGTCCCTGTTGACTTGCGTGCCTGTCTGAGTGCTTGTCGGCATGAGTGTGTGTGTGACCTGCAAGGGTACTTGCTTGTTTGGCAGGCCCGTAGGGATGGTACTTACCTGTGGCCGTGGCATTGAGGGTTGCAGCAGGGAAAACCCTCAAGTAGCGGAGCCAGGGGCCCGCGATGCTTAGAGCAGCAGAAAAACACTCAAGTAGCAGGTAGGCCGGTACCGCACCCAGTAGCAGTAGATGTGCCGGGTACTTGAGGCCGAGCAGAAGAAGACAAAGTTGGCATTTTTAGAGGCCCAGTAGCGGTAGGCTAGGTCTAGGCCGGTACCAGTCCATCCTGTCTGAGTCTAGAGCCTGTACGGGCAATATCAGAGTCTGCAATGATGTTTCCCTCCGAAAGGGAGGAGGTACCGCTTGCATGGGAGGCCGAGCGGCCTGGAAGTCACCACCTAGGAGGCAAGCAGGCCGCTATATCAAGAGGCCGAAGGAAGAGCTCGGCCTCATTCTTCAGTGTGCGAGTTGGGCGTCACGCTGCTGGAGCGTTGGTGGGAAGAGCGCTGGCTGCTACAGCGCTGCTGGGAGGACGAAGCCGGGAGCTTCCACCTTGGCTATGGTGGAGCTCTACCGGTAGGTGGAGGGAGAAGGGGACCAAGGAGGAGAGTGGCGAGGTACTTACCTGG